TGTTGGTTGTAGGTCACAAGATAAAATCACTTCCAGCTGAACCACAGAATTATAAGCTGAACATTGTGTTATCATCAGAAGTAATTGATGTATTAAATAGAATGTCAGCGTGAAATTACGAACTAAGTTACTACTTATATAGGTACCTACTTCATAATACAGTGTGAGTCACGTTAAAGTGTACATATGAAAGTAGATGAAACTAGACCTATTTTTAAAAATTTTAAAAAAATCTCAAAAATTTTTTGACCTCTTTTTTGTCGATAAAAATAAGTCTAGTTTCATCTATTTTCATATGTGGGTAGTTCTACAAATCAGGGAATTTTACGGGGCTCAACTTGCAGCTCCTTAAATTACCAATCAATTGTTTTCGTTTTAGGGTATTAATAAAGTTTAACTCACATAGTACTTGGTCACTGAATTTCAACACGTTTTAATAAAAACATCCCAGACAAAAATGGCTTCAAATGGGAAAAATTCTCATTTCCCTGTGGGGTGACAATCCAGAATTCGTGATGTAAATCACAATAAAAAATATATAAAAATATAATTAGTCAAAAATAACATTGTATTGAAAGTAACCATTAGTGTATCTTTCATTTAACCTATATGGATTATGTTTGAATTCCCTATTTACATAATTTTTTGATTGCTGAACAAAGGCGACACGAATTAAGTATCACTTCCCTGCCACCTATAAACACGTTAAAATCTGTAACAAAACAAAGGGTAAGCCACGTTGTCGTTCTTATGTATTTAAGTATGCAGTTAAGTTCGCCTAGTGAAACGTTTATTTCGCCCAAATCGTCAGTCAGTTAGACGCAGCTACGCTGTTATCATCGTCTGTCGTGTCTGGGCCAGACAACTTCTCACTCATCTGTTACGTATTTATAACAGTATTTTATATTATTTTAGGGCAATTATGAAACAATATTGTCAAACTCGCTTGCGTCCATTGACTGATAATATTAAATTTGATATGAAGTTTATATAATTCATGATTTTGGCAAAATACATCAAAAATCTCACTTCCCTGTGTATCATTTCCCTGGGTTTACGAAGAAAATGGAAAAGTTAATATCGACTAACCAGCAAAACTTACTGCCATATAAAGGCATTTTACAAATACACTAAGTGCAGGCAAATGCATACACTCCATTGAAACTGGATACTCCATTTTGACTTGCTTGACTCTATACAAACTTTTAGCTGTTTTTGCAGTAACGTGTGCGAGCACTTCCAAATAGGCATCGTAAAATATTCTTCCATGAAAGCAAATGTTGATGACGCTTAAACTGAATCTGAAACTGAGACCAGTAATGCCTGCAACACCAGTATTTTGATTCATCAGACTTGGTTGACCTTACGAGTGTACTGGGACTGAATGAACATTGATGATCCTGATGGATTGCTGGAGATGCCGAAAATAGATACTAACGAATTGTTTCCAGTCGAAGAAAAGCGTCGAGGAAAGAAGAGGAAGATAATAGAAGGAGATACGAATAGTAGGGAAAAGTCAAAGAGATCAGGTGACGGAAAAAGAAGCAACCTAAATGATTTCCATGTTCAATTGATAGTGGACTTTTATGATGCACATAAAAGTATTTTTTATTATTTTTAGAATAAAGACTATACACTCAAATGCATCTTTCAGTTAAATTTTCACTATCCTGTATATGTTCTCACTTCCCTGTCCATCGAAAATAGAAAAACCGCTATAAAATCAATATTCATCATAATTTTGTCTGGCCCGTTAAAAATTGGATATTTTGTAGTATATTCTCGGTCTTTAGTCACTGTTTATACTGGTTACTAACAAAAACTGGAGATTCATTTTATGGTCCTAAATAATTCCACCGTGAGTAGAACTACCCATGTACACTTTAACGTGACTCACACTGTATTAACTCGTGAGATTGTAAACTAACAGTAGGTTAAAGAATCTAATATTACTACCGACTGACGGATTTTTAATTTTACGGTGACATTATACGAAATTGAAATAATATGCTCTCTACCTTTACATGAAACAGTGTAGATGTACAGATGTAGTTTTTTATCCTAGAAAAAATAAAATAAAAGTTTTAAGTGCACATCCACAATGGCCAAAGAATTTTAAACCAAAGTGAAATAACGAAGCTGTCGGAATAATAAATTAACGTTGCATTTTCCCACAGAGTGAGAGTGATGTCCGTATTGTCCGTCATTCGCAAAAATACATTTTACAATTGAGATTTTAAACTGCGAATTTCGTGTTACGTATTTGTATTCCTTAAATACTACTGCGGTTGCATTTAAGGAACTTTGTTTAGTTTTCACTTTTTTAGTTTACTCTGTTAATCTAATTCTTTACCGTCATGCTTGTTAGATGTTTATTTCTTACCCTATGTATGTAAGTTACTAGTATCAGTGTGACCATTATGGTTTGTTTCTTCTTCTTACCTTGCGTTTTTCTCTATTACATGGTTAGGTAAATCTAACTCTATTACGTCATGCTTTTTAGATGTTTGCTAAATTGTTTCTTTAACATAACCTTTGCAAAATTGTGGTTCCATGAATACATTTTTGTGCGTTTGAATTATTTCTTCCTGTTACCATGCCTTCAGTTTTCTAAAATCTCAATTCTCCTTTAAATAACAAACCAATGACGGTACACTGCTACTAAAGTGTTAAGTGCCTGCCAAACACCTTGAAATGGCCTCTAATGTCAGGATTCTGGGAAGAAATCGGCAAGCAACGAGTTTCAGCTGCTCGCGACAGAAAGAGCAAAGCGCTTTGTGCTCGTGGAATGTCATTCATGGGCGGAATAGCACGATAACTTAGGTCTGGTTCTGTGAGAAGAATATTATTTGTTGGATACTCAAATGTATTTAAACTGACTCGTTTTCTTTATTTATGAAAATTACTGGCTTTACGTACTTTATATAAAATGTGCTGTAGGATGATTGAGTTAAAGATTTTTCATTATGGTTAGAGTTAAAGATTTAGGACAGAATTTCAGACAAACATGACTGCTTAATAATTACATACCGCGCTTTTATGAATTTGAAAAAAAAAAACATGAAATTAATTTCAAAATGCAGCAACAAGTAGGTACATACAAGTCAGAATTCTCAGAATATCAGACTAAGTTTTCTTAAATAATTTTATTAATATAGTTAAACGTGTTTGCGTAGGTTAATTACCACGATTTTTTAATTCAAACCTGTCGACGAAATCAGCTGAATTCAGGTCAGGCGACTTTTTTATCATTTTAGTATTATTTACTAAAACACAGAAACTTTTAGTTTCCGTCAACTTTTGCCTTTCGTGGTCTACTATCGCTCACACCGCTCACTGAGCTATTCATCAACAGTGGCAGTTCACTTAACACACCACCTCCAGTCCTGCAGTAAATATTGCCACATTTTTTTCCGCCGTCCATTTTGCCCTAACTCACCCGTTCCTCAAACCGATAAATCAACGGGTATCAGTTCACAGCTGAACACAGGCTTTTTATGCTCGCAACAATACACACAACCCCACTCTGTCTGCCAGTGTTATGGTAGAAGTACAGGAAAATAAAACTGGGACTTTTAGAATGCAATGAATCTTTTGCTGTGTTTTAAATTACGTTTTCCGAAAGTTCTTACTTATCTACGGCGAATAATCTAATCACAGTTTAACCTAAACCAGGATTTATTCTTTTCATTTTCATGTTGCTTTTGATTAAGCATCAGTAAATGTTATGACGCTCATACAACGTCTTAAATTGTGACACTTAAAAAGAGTGAGTGCCTCTTGAACAAAAGGTTAACGAGCAAATTGCTTGTGACAAATGGATATGCATGAGGATTACATTGTACAAAACTTGTACAGAACCTTAAAAACTATTAAAGTATTACATTGAAGTGAACATCGTTGTAAACTCTTAGGCTGGGTAGCAAAATTTTACTTTAACTTTGACGAACGTCAATAAATCTGTCAATCTTCATACAAAAAACATCGGTTATCGTTAAAGTTACGGTCAAATTTAGGTGGTGCAACTCAGCCTTAGGTATATGGATATTGATGAATGTCCAAATACATCAGTGTATCTTAACATTAAACTACCAAACATACTCGTACACATGTAGATACCACCTATGCAAGAGGAGAGTTTCTTGGAAGGGATTAAATTAAATTGCTAGAATGGATTTCAATAACATCGAATGTGGAACCCGGTTCAAAATCCAGGAAATCTAAGACGCTCGTTTATTTCACCAATGTAAACAGCGACGTATTCCATATTAGAGAACAAGGCTTAACTAGTTCAATGTGGCAACTATTGTATTCAGCAAGTTGTCAGCAATTAAGACAAGACTAGCTACAGTTCTATTACCAGTTTAATCCTTACTGTGTACCTTTGATAACCTGCTGATGTTTTCCATCAAACACTAAGACTGAGACGAGGCAAGAGAAGACGAGACGTGTTTAAAGCAACCACTTCCATCGTCTGTTTCAATCTAATGGCATCCACAACCAGAAAAAGGGAAAGCAACAAACATTGTTACTTACACGTCTGAATAAACGTAATAATTTTGTTATTTACTACTACTACTACTTTATGTCTTGTCTACGCTTAGCTTCAATAGAAACGATTGAAAAGATACGTGCAGTGTTTTCACACAAAACACGTCACTGTACTAGGTCCGGAGTAAAGTGGAAAGAAGAAGACCTCTCAGAAAAAGAAGAAGTCACCGTACCTCTCCGCTCCACTCCACTTTCATTTCAGCCAAATGACTTCCACAGCTGGACAAAAGCTTCCCCCATGGATTTCTGCAACGACCGGTCCTGCACTGCCTGCATCCAGGCACCTCCCGTGACCCTTACCAGATCGTCAGTCCCTCACTAGGTGGAGCGCCAATCCCCCACTAAATGGAAGTGCCGCTCATCTCCGCACATCTCACCTCCACCGGCTTTGCCCTACTGGTTATATAAATAATAGCGGGCGTGTTTTCATAGAAACTTTTTCCACAGGGATGTCGGCCGGTGGCGGCGAACTGACCAGCGAGGCCACGGAGACCACCGTGGAGTCGGTGGTCAACGCCACGGAGTCGGCGGAGATGGGCCAGCCGTACTTTGACAACAGTACAAAGAGGGACTACACGGCTGCGGTCGGCCAGCCTGCGTACATGCACTGCCGCGTGAAGAACTTGGCTGATCGAGCGGTAAGTAAACGATAATAATCATTAAAATAAATATTCTTAACTAAACTTAAAATTCTTTTTTGCACACAGACACGTTATTTTTGCACATACATTACACACAGTAATTTTTGCACGTCTGCGAGCAGACTGAACACATGGTCCTACTATAATATTGTCTGTTATTACTGTGTTTTTGGAAAATAAGTATTTGAACTTTGAACTTGAAAATATAAAAGAAAAAATATAATACATAGCTCTATTTATTTATTCAAAAACAAAAGTGTGTCGCTGAAAACATCTTGCACCTTGCATTCTCCAGCCAGTCCCGAACTAAGTAAAGGTTTTACTGAGTACGAGACAATTTACGCATCAAGTATACTTTTTTGTAACTGTAAAGGAGCTGTCTTGAAGTAGGTAGAAAAAGAAGCTCTGGTAAGAAGATTGTCGTATTTCTAAATGTCACGCCAAGCGTGGACGTTCGGTTCCAATTAAAGTCCAAGCAATTATAAGGTTAAATCTCGAAATAAAGTAACAAACCTTTATTTTACGTCATCTCTAATAGCGAGATGGAATATTTGTGTTTAGTTCCCTGGGGTATTACAAACGTCTATGGCATTGACATAAGCCGCGCTTTGATATATCGCGCAGTATTATAAAGAACGCTACAAACTCGCATCAGCAGCGCAACGTCCGTGTAGCGTGAACGGACCGTGAGAACGCACTTTTATTGTTGTTCCTTTTTGCTGAAACATATACCCCTAGTGTGTTAGTATTTGGAACGAAATACACAAAACAATCTACTTTTGCTATTAGAACGGAATGGTACTGGATGTATTTTCAATCTTTTTGAAAGTCTTTTAAATTGTTCTTCGTTTATGCTGTTTCTCCAATCAAGTCTTTACATTAAAAACCATAATACACTTGATAGATACCTATTCTAAGTTCTAGAAGTAACTGAGTCAAAAAGTAAAAAAAAGTGAAATAAACAAACATTGTTTATCTGAATATGCGGCTAAATGAGAGACCACTTGGAAATTTTCATAACATTTCCAAGGAATGATTTATGATTTCCTAACTAGAGTAAATTGTTTTCACCGCGCAGCACGTTCATAATAACGTAATGGTACGGATACCATAATATACCCTCGAAGGGTTTCTCCATACCGCATAAATGTATGAGCTATTCAAATACCTTTGCAGCGGACACGTGTATAAAGTTAAAGCCTACACGTACACGTGTAACTTCTCTAAATCACTTAGGTACTTGATGTTTAAAAGTGAGAGGAAATAACACACATTTAAAGTCGAAAATTTATTTTGCCCCAAAGCCTAATAAACTTCAAGGGTGAGTTTCTAATTCCCATTTTAACTTTCGAATTTGGAGTGCCAATAAAATTAATTACCGCCTAAACGCGATCAAAGCATCGATTGGGTGAAAATTTATAACTTCATCGTTACATTATCGATGATGCCTGCGTGTCCGACAGTTTGTAGAGAGCGCTTTTACGCTACCAGGTCAGATAACGACCATTAATTTTGATGAAAAATTATTCTTCAGCGCGATAGCAGGTTGTATCATTATTTTATAAGGCGACGAGCAGGAGCAAGTAAGCCGGAGCTTTGTGATGGTTCTGGTACACTTGCGCGAAGGACCTGGACACTTAATAGAATCCACAAGAGCGAAAAGCTATTTGCGCGCACGGACACTTTCGCGAAGTGGCCTTTGCGTTTTGTTGACACTTTCGCATTTATGTTATTAGTAGTGGTAATTTATTAAGTATCTGTAGGGTACGTACATTGCATGTTCATTTTATTAAACTAGGATAACGGTGTTGACTGTCCAATTAGTCTGTATATTAATTGAACTATCTTAAGAAAAAATATGTACCTATTGTTCAGTTGTTTGTTTTCCTAAATAAATTTAAAAAAAAAGAAAAAAAAAAGATACTTAGTGCGAATGGACGTTTGCGCGAAAGACACGAGCATCGTGAAAATCATAACAGTGAACAACATTTTTAACCGACTTCAACAAAAGGAGGAGGTTCTCGATTCTGTTGGTATATTTTTATTTTTGAGTTTTATCGGCCCATATTTAATATGTAAATTCTTAAGGCACTACCTCGGCAACAAAGCTTGACTGTGTGTCTTTCGCGCTTGTATCTTTCGCGCTCATGTGTTTCACGCAAGTGTCTTTCGCGCAAATGTCTTTCGCGCAAGTGTCCTAACCTAATACGTTGTGAGGGAACAAGATGAGGGCCGATTTGTCTAGCCCTTCGACAGTAAACACATGACACTTGAAGGATTGAGCTATCATATTCTCGTCGATCACTCTTGCCTTTCAAAACCGCTATTTCATCAACATCATAAGCCGATTCAGATTTCCAAAGCTTTGCTTCAAGTTTGGGTAAGACAGATTCCGTGAATTGATACATCGACCCAGTTTAACGTAGCGATTTAAATATTTATAGAATAGTAACTACGTACGAGTATGTTGCTAAGTTTCAATACAGCGAAAATATTATGTGAAAATATATAATAGAATAAAAGATTTTCTGTGTAATACGGTTGATTTTAACATCAAATTCATTTCGGTAATCTCAAATTGATATTAAAAGTTGTGGCGGGTGACACCTCCCACGCGAAAGATGAGTTAGTGCTTGTTCACGTAGGCACGCGCGGGCGCGGGCGCGGGCGCGGGCGCGGGCGCGGGCGCGGGTAACGTCGCGAGCTCGTGTTCATATTGACGACCAGGCGTTCGCGCGATTGTGACGTATTGTCAGAGGTCGAATTATGGACGACGATCTTTTATTTTTAACCGAAAATTCATACCTAAAGTGGGAGATGCTAAAAATTAGAATTGGTGTTTTGTAACTGTGTTTTGTAATAAGGTGAGTTTAAAAAAAAGATTTTCTTAGTAAGTAATTTATAATTTTCAATCAAAATCAAATTCAAACAAGGTTCCTCTTTATTATTTAATTTAATTAATATTATCGTTATCAACTAAACAACATTTCTGTTCATATGATGACTTACTTTGCCAAATAGGAGTTCTAGCCTGAATAGCACTAATAAACTCTTCTGTATTGAACGACATGATAAAAACGTGCTATCGTTTCTAGCGACAAGATCAAACTGGTTGAACTTACCTGACGTCGTGAGTGAAACGCGCGCGCCGCCGCTAGTTTGACATGAACACACACAAACATCTTCACGCGTTGAAATTACCGCGAGCGCTCCGCGCGCGCCAGTCGCTAGCTTGCCCGCTAGTTAGACCGCACGTGCGTTTCGTACGTGAACACTTGGAATCACTACATATGTTTGATATTTCGTCACCGCGCCCGCGCCCGCGCCCGCGAGTCAACGTGTGCAAGCCCTAAGTGCTTGTTCACGTAGGCACGCGCGGGCGCGGGCGCGGGCGCGGGCGCGGGTAACGTCGCGAGCTCGTGTTCATATTGACGACCAGGCGTTCGCGCGATTGTGACGTATTGTCAGAGGTCGAATTATGGACGACGATCTTTTATTTTTAACCGAAAATTCATACCTGAAGTGGGAGATGCTAAAAATTAGAATTGGTGTTTTGTAACTATAAGGTGAGTTTAAAAAAAAGATTTTCTTAGTAAGTAATTTATAATTTTCAATCAAAATCAAATTCAAACAAGGTTCCTCTTTATTATTTAATTTAATTAATATTATCGTTATCAACTAAACAACATTTCTGTTCATATGATGACTTACTTTGCCAAATAGGAGTTCTAGCCTGAATAGCACTAATAAACTCTTCTGTATTGAACGACATGATAAAAACGTGCTATCGTTTCTAGCGACAAGATCAAACTGGTTGAACTTACCTGACGTCGTGAGTGAAACGCGCGCGCCGCCGCTAGTTTGACATGAACACACACAAACATCTTCACGCGTTGAAATTACCGCGAGCGCTCCGCGCGCGCCAGTCGCTAGCTTGCCCGCTAGTTAGACCGCACGTGCGTTTCGTACGTGAACACTTGGAATCACTACATATGTTTGATATTTCGTCACCGCGCCCGCGCCCGCGCCCGCGAGTCAACGTGTGCAAGCACTTAGGCTTTGAGCTGGCTGGAATTCTGGATTCATTTTCAAGGTATTTTCCCTTTTTTGTGTAGGTTATACTTTGGCCGTACTTGTTGGCGGCTAGTGATAAAAATATCTAACATAATATTACGGCATCAGCCGCAAGAAAATAGTTTGCGGTTTTGGCTCGGGCCGCGCTTATTCACCGTTTAGTCAGCTATGTGCCACAAGTAAAATAATGGCAGATGGCTCAAAAGAATCGATTGTTTTGAACAGTAATTTCTCCAATAGAGACATTTTAGCCGTCAAGTTGGGTAATAGTTTCACAGTTTGTTAAGATCATGTCAACATAAGCTTAGCTTTATACTAAAAGTGTCGTCTCAAGTCTGTCTTGCAAATCAAGTTAATCTTGAGCCGTAAATCAAAATTCAGCAAAATTCAAGTAGACTGTACCTGCAGTTGACAGCACATTATCATCATCATTATCATTTCAGCCATAGGACGTCCACTGCTGAACATAGGCCTCCCAATGCTTTCCACGTTGATGATTGACAGCACATGCTGTATAAGTATTTTTGTTATAAAATAAGTAACACCTATTAGGTACAGTACAAAAGATGCAACAGTGTTTAGCGCCTATACAAAGTGAACTAACTGAACCCTCTCCCATCACGGCCAAGTCAGCTATCTGATAACTCGCAATACTCGGAAAAGTGCTTTGCATACATTTACGTATTTTAGAGGCCCGAACTACAAAAGGAAAGAAACCATTATAAGATTACTCACGCGACTGAATGTTTCCCTTCCCTTGGAAACCATTTGACATAATGTGTTTTTGCGATAACATCAGCTGCGTAACATAAAGAAACTCTTAAAGTAGCAATACGCTAATTCACTTTAGGCAAAAAGTACAGGAGTATTATGGAAAATATACCTTAATTGACTCGGAACGGTCGAAGCTACAGCCTATTTTT